ATATAATGGAATACATGGAATTTATATTTGGAACGTTATTACTAATACACATCTCTCAAATGACGGAAAGAAAGAGAGAGAGAGATTTACTGAAAAAGAAATAAATAAAGAAAGAAAGAAAGAAAGAGAGAGAGAGAGAGAGAAACAAAAACAAAAACATGAAAACAACAAAGTTAAAATCCTGTCATTCTCCAGGCAAAACAAAAAAGTTAAACAATATTTCCATTTACTTCACCTTATTAAATGTCTTGTCACAAAAGCACATCTTGCACATGTGAAATATAACACTAGGAGTGCATACATGTTTAAGTATATGTGTATGGATTTATGATTTACATATACATACGTAATTATTTTCAAGTCACAGAACCTAAATATGTGTTTTAGGACTGTAACACTTTTAAATATATTTAGATATATTTCTTTCTAAGATGGATAATATCGGGGTAAAATCATTATTTTATATGGATACAAAATAAACTTACAGAATCTAAATGATAATAAAATATAGATTTAATATATATCAGAATCTTTTAAGTAATTTAAGTATCTCTGTACCTTATCTGTGAATAAGCTGCTATGCAATTAGTAAGAATGAAAAGATAAGCCATTTGATTTGTATCAAAAGAACAGAAAAAAAGGCAAAAAATGTGATATATATATAAATACATATATATATATTAGTGACAAGGGGAACAAATGGAAAAGATTAAATACATATAGTAATGAAAAGGGGATAATATAAACACAAAATGAAAAATCATATAAACTAAAAGAGAAAAACTTGAGATTCAAATTTCAAAATCTGATGAAACATATACCAACTGGCAGGCATGTCATGTGCAAAACTGAAATAAGCATATTTTGTAGACGTATCATTTACCTTAACAATGTTATAAGGGAACTAGAGAGAGAGAAAAAAAAAAAAAAAAAAAAAAAAAAAAAAAAAAAATCTTTATATCTATGCCTTACTTTCTCCCAATACTCATCCTAAATATTATTGAATAAATGCAATTTGCAATATTTGCATGAAGAGATAACTGCTTTTGGTGTGTGTCGTGGTATTTGTCTCAGTGTGCACAGAGATATAACACCATAATGTGTGTCTGAGTCATTACGTGACCCACCCTACTGTTTATCATAAATTTTGATAAATGAGAAAATAAAACAAGAAAACCTTTTCAAAACATTTCCCTCTTCATGTTTTCAATGCTCTGCCAGTCTAGCTGCCACAACCCAAAGCTTAAACGGATAAATTAATAAAGAAAAATCACCCTCAAATGTAAACTGTGACCATAATATTTGAGACAGCATAGACACCTAACAAATGTATGAAATATCCAGGCCAATGGGTACAGCATACAAGATAATACCCTTTAACCAAATCCACATAAAAAGAATTGCTAAGACATTCTTGTTCCTATTCTAAATACCGACAAACTCTCTCGTTAAAACTAATTAATAAGTTGCCAAAAACTGAAACTGGATCACCCATTACCGGCGTTTTGAAGAAAATCTAACTTTGAAAAAAACATGGCATAAAATTACACTTGTTATCACCATGACCGGACCATAAGCACACATACCTATTTTTGTTGGATTTAAACAATATCAACCAATAATTCAAATGATACACATGAAATGACCATGTCTTTCATCTTATGGCTTTTACATGCAGGATACTTTTCTATCATGAAATGCCCTAGAACAAAAAAAAAAAAAATGTTTTTGTGACAATTTCATTATTCTTGTGACTAGATGTTCCAAGATGAAGTTACTCAAGTACTTGTTTCTACTTTGCTGTAATTGCAAAAAACAAACAAACAAACACAACCAACTGGGAGATATTCTCAAATAGCTAAAGGATTTAAAAATATAAAAAATTGAGCTGCCATCATTGAATAAAGGTACTATCACCATGTTCGCAACATGGCCTGCAAGTCTTAGCACTTCTATGACAATCCATTTAATTCTGTATTCAGATGTCTGTTTTGTAAAAATGAGTGTCTACGTCAGGAATTTCTGACCTATGGCTGGAAAGCACCACTTTTATTCTACTTTGCAGAGCATTTACAATCATGTTTTCCAGACCAGTTCTAAGGTTAGATAGACATTATCACATAATTTCTCCCAAGTTATTGAGCAGAATTATTGAATAAAGGTTCAAGTCCTAAACCTCTTAAATAAGTTAATAATTCATGAATGCTAGCTGTATATATTCCTAAAACTATAAACCTATTACATGGCTAGGTTACAGTAGTCGCATTATTCCTATGACCATTCTCAATTTTGATAGTCACAAATGTAAACAGGCGAATAATAACAAAAAATCCATGAAAATAATGCTTAAAGTATGTTATATCAGTGTTACCTTACACTGAGCTATGATGAATGTATCATTCTTAAGTTGATAAGTAAAAAGAAAAGAGGGAAGTCAACTTGGCCCAAAAAGTGAATAATGCCTTGAAACACAAATTAAGAATAACATTGCTCATGCGGGAGACAGAGGATGCCCACATTCAATAGTCTGAGTATTTTCAAGTCTTATAAAAAAAAACCTTTGCACTATCTTTAATTTCTTGTGATTAAATCTTCAATATCATAATCACATACATATTTTTTAGTGTATATCAAAGCTAAACCCAAGGAACTATGAATGAACAAACATTAAGCTCATGGATGTTACAAGCGAACACTAATCACAAAAGAAATAAAAAAGTAATAGGTATGAAATAATTCTGCAATATAATTTTGTCCGCTAAAATTCACTTCCTTTTTCTTTTGCAAATGTTACAACAACTATGGTGCTTTCGAAATCATCCAAAGGAAACCTGGTGCTTAGCAGGCTATAAAGCATGGGAACTCTGCAAGTGCACATCATTGAAAATAATGAAAAGAGTACTGGGCAAGTGCAAAAACTTCACTGCTGCACAGCTTTTTAATAATTCACCCTAAACCTTAGAACATATTATTGATCAAATTATGGGCAGCCAGACCTATCAAAAAATACTGATGAACTATGTTAAACAAAAATGCTTATCAGCCATAGTATTCAAGGGTCTCTCTTCATAAAAAATAGTGCATATATATGGAAGTATAAATAAATAATCAAATGTATGTATGTATGTATGTGTGTGTGTGTGTGTGTATATATATATATATATATATATATATATATAAATAAATTTATATATGTATATATATTTGCATATATATCATATTATATATAAACACACACACACATACACACACACACACACACACACACACACACACACACACACACACACACACACACACACACACACACACACACACACACACACACACACACATATTTATACATATTTATACATATATATACACATACATATACATACATATACATATATATATTCATATACATACATATACATATATGTACATATATATACATATACATATATATACATATACATATATATACATATACATATACATATATATACATATACATATATATGCACACACACATATAAATACATATACATACACATATATACATATACATACACATATATACATATACATACACATATATACATATACATACACATATATACATGTACATACATATACATACATGTACATACATATACATACATGTACATATATGCATGTACACACACACACACACACACACACACACACACACACACACACACACACACACACACACACACACACACACACACACACACACACACACACACACACACACACACACACACACACACACACACACACACACACACACACACAAAATCAAAAAAATAATAAATAAATAAAAAAAATAATAAATAAATAAAATAAAAAAATATATAAAAAATAATAAAAAATAGAATACATCTGATTTTGCCTTGACATAACCTACTACAGACTTGTATATGTTGAGAAAACGGTGATTTCGGATACAGTTACGTAATGCATGGCCGATGGAACAAATTTTTGGGTGAATAATTAAAAAATCCATCCAAACTCATTCACTCGTGCCAAAAACTAGCTGCCAAAAAATTTTAGGACTATTCATAATATATCTATAAACTCTTATATTAGAAAATAAATAAGATTTCTTTTTCCAATGACACCTTATATTTTAAACTAGTGTTTCTAGTTTACATGCAATTTAGAACTATAACAATTATGAAAATACAATAATTCAACAGCTGACAAACTGTGATCAAATATAAACTAATGAGCATGCTAGAATCCCACTGGGTTGATGTATTCATATAAATCTCAGGTTTTCACATCTGTACAAAGTAAAGAAATGAATCATAGCCCAAATGCCTGTGATCATCTTCAACATGTATGCACAGAAAGCCAGGCTGTATTGTCTTATTCAGTTAATATATATAACAGAAACATCTGATAAACAATAAATTGATCTTGAGAGGTGAATCGTCAAGTTTAATTAACATCAAATTCAATTAAAGCTGCCACGTACATCACAATGAAATGCAAAATTGCAAAAAATAACCCTTTACTGCCCTTTCATAATACATGGAAACAACTAGGGGAGGGGGTGTGACTTTTGAACCAACGAATGATAAATCACCTAAGTACATGAACACAATTAAGTACTGACAGGAATTAAAAGAGAAAAGGGGAAGAAAAAAAATCAAACCAAGAAGAGTCCTATCACAAAAAAAAACATGATAAAAAGAGGAAAAAGAAGAAAGAAAGACAGAAAGAAAAAAATCATAATCTACAGGCATCTTGCCATGTCCCAAATGCAGAGCATGGGAGTGACCTGTTGGTGGGAGGTGGTTAATGGCTTCTCTATATGGCTATGACATGGGCTGTGTAGGCTGAAAGACCAATATGATGAGATCACAACTTCAAGCTCAAAAAGGCCGTGATCCCCTCTGCCAAGGCTACAAAATGCCTCCAAGAGCAAGGCTGATAATTGAAAGGACGGAAGGAGATTGAGTGATTTCATTTTAATGAAGGAAGAAGAGAAAAAAAAAGGAAAATGAGAAAAGAAATGAGTAAATTCACTTGAATCAATCACTTGTATTCTACACTAGAAACCAATAGTTAGCATTCTTTATCATCTTCATCTCTGGTACCCTGCAGAAGAAATCAGTTATTTTAAGCCAGTTAACAATGGGAATTTAATGGACAATGTCATTGACTTGATATCTTTGATGTTGCCAAAAGGTAATAAAATGAATAAATGCCATGTTTATATTGCATGGCAATCACTGATTTCTTGTGACTGACTGACAACCTTAAATCATAAAAAACAAACATTGAGGTAAAAAATAGATATATGGATCTAACAGATAGTCAATACAAAAAAGCTGACTTTAAAATACATTCAGTAATGGATTATTCCATAAAAAAGAGCGAAGTCCGACAAAGCCATCAAATATCCCACGAAAACCTGTTTTGAAGTTGAGTCCCGAGTGTGGTGTACACTAGGTAACTATATACTACTGGAGCTTTACAACTGATGGAGTAGGCAGTACCTAATTAATGTTACCCTCATTCATGGAATCAGTTGCTCATCTGCTGCCTTTATTTTGGACGGTTCTTCTTGCTTTCTCTTTCTGGGTAAAACAGTGATCCTGATAGGAGAGCCACACCAATGTAAATTGGCAAAATTCTGTGTATCTGATTAAACCAGTCCGTAACTTGCCGTATAAATTTGGTATATTTGAAAGATGTGTCTTTGCCTAATACTTAATATGAAAATGGAATGGCATATACTCTATACCAATAGCAGATTACTTATCAAAAAGTTACCTTTCTTTTTCTCTTAAGCCCTGCATAAAAATTGGTCTTTAATGATCTTTCCATCTTTTGCCGGAGATATCATTCCTGAATGAGAAGATAACATTAACATGTGACCACAGAAAGGGAACACGCGCTTTATATCTCTAAGGTGCAGATTGTCCTGCCTGTGTAATTTCTCACAATGTGATCCAGTTATTGTTTAAGTTATTAGGGACTATTATTTGCACACAAGATTGAGAATATGCTGACAAATAAGAATATATATATGATGCCATTCACATGTTAGATCTTATAGCATTACTTGGAAGAAGGATTCCTGTGAGAGTAAGTACAGTAAGAGTTAAAATGGTTTAATCCTACAACTGACTTGCTATTAATCAAGAAGATTACGATTACAGGTACTTCATTGCAAAAGGATTCTTGCACTTTCTTCTGCCACTTCACAAAGCAAACCCTACAACTAGCATCAAGATGTATAGTGAAGTGCCAGTCAAGGAAGTAGATTGGGAAGTTCGTGCATCAATATTCCCTATCAGGATCTACTATACAAACAAGTGACATCAAGATTTATATGTTATGCATAATTAATATATATTACTCACATAGCCTAACATGAGAACTGTATTAATGGGAATGTCATTTAAGTATATGATAAATATAAACAAAAAATAGTGACAGTAAAAAAAATAAAATCCTGTTAAGTACTGCTAAGTTTCTGCTGTTCACACTATAAGTGGTCTTTGAAGACTCCCATGTTCAGAACAACCTTGGTTGTAATAATCACCATTGTATTAATGGAAAAAAGTACAACTGATCATCTGAAGTACCAGATGACACATTGAAAAAAATCTGTAAATGCTCTAAAAGAATAAATAAAAAATAAATAGATGACAAGGGAGGCTGAAGAAGGCTCCCATCTTCTCCAGACTGTTCATTTCACCACAGATATAATGCAAGCAGTTAGATATGGGATTTCGTGAGTTTTGTCAGATTCTTGCTGAATAATCACACTGAACAGTACTCTACAATATGCTCACAAATATGTGTGTGTATATACAAACACACATTGCAAACAGGTGGTTCTATACCCATAAAATTCTCTGATACAGAAAACTGAATGCACAGTTACCAAAGAGGTTTACACAAAATTTATAAAATGTAGAATTTCAAACTTGAAAATAAATCCTTGAAAAATATATATTCTTTTTATAATTTTCACATTCCAATATAAACTCTTGGAAACTGAAATTAACTAATTTCCAACAAGCATACACACATACAAATATGATCATTCATAAATACACACTAACTATGACATACTGCATAAGATATCTATTCTGTTTGTGTTTGTGTACTTTCATGTTGGTATGTTTGTGTGTCTGTAGGAGCATATGTAAAATTCATACCCATCTTTATATTCAAACACTTTACAGAAAACACACACACACGTTTAGTTTTATAAATATGGATAAAAGTAAGTCAACTATAAATACATTCACATACTCACAACAACATGGGCTGAGTTCTTGGCATTACATATCTGTGGTGTAGCTGAAGCAGTGCAAATCATTTGTCGAACATCTTTTTTTTTTTACTCTATCTCTGGCACAGCAATAATTAATGAGCACAAGCAGCCAATTAACTGGATCACCGTGTATCCTTTCTTACAAGCTCTGGGTGAGAATGGTGAGCAATATTCAAAGATTAAACAGCATCATCGATTACCAAGTTCACCAGCGAGTTGTAGATGCTGCCAGAATGGAGGACAATACCTCTGTGCATCTATGATACAGTACACAAACTACAGCCTACTCAAAGTATTTACTTAAGTACCAATTGCCACCTTAAGTTCACCTAACAGCCAGAGACATGGCACATGGGGATTACTCGATGTTATGTGGTGATAGCTGCCACAAGGTTACTTTGTGGTGAGTGAAGCAATCGCCCGTATGAGGGCATTGTTTTCCTGTCGCAAATTAGAGCGGTCGTTACATGCCTGGCTCAGCTCCCCTGTGAGTTGTGAAAGTCGAGATTCAAGTGACGAGATGCGC